TTTCTAAATACTTTTTTCAAGAGCGATTTTTGTACGATCACTCCACATTTTTTTAATCCTATTTCAAAAATGTTCTGTAACTTTTCACTGAAATTGAATATAGCAAATCGTAGACACGTTTCTTTAGCGCTTTGGCCCCGGAAACGGAGGAACACATTAAATAAGCGAAGAACAAAATTCGCTTTAACATGTAACGTTCAAAAGGTGATTTGGGCGCTCGCATTTAAAAATCGTGAAAATTCGACAATTACTTTTTTTCTCAAAAATTTTGGTATAGTCTAATAGCCAGTCCTATAAGCTTTAATTTGATATAGGGGTTTAGATATCTACAGTTTAAACCGGACGCGGTACATCGCTTGCACGCGAAACACCCCTGAAGGTGCACGGTAACCTTAAGCTCTTACACAGTGAACCAAAATTTGCTCGTAAACAAAATTTTTGCTCAATGGATCTCTTTACTCCAGCAATACGCTCAGAATGCAAAACTGTGCTCGAACGTCCCCAAATTAGAGCCTTTCGGCACTAGCAAAAAAGTTGTTTATTTCGACAAATTTTCCGTCATCACCAACAATTTGAAAGTGTGGATGCCGGATTGTCGCGACTTGACAAATGTTGGCCGAAGCGGACAAACCTTCAAACGCACCGCCGACAAAAATTTATTTGTCCTGTAAAATCGGGACAAATTCGACTATATTAACAACATAGGCATGCTACGCATGTAGGAGTAATTTTTTCGGATGAGTGAGTTGAAAATGGACACTTAATAACTGATGTTTGCATTTTTGTAAAAGAAAAAGAGCATCTGCTTTCAAAAGATATCAGTGGAATAAAAGTTCAGACACACGTATTTTATGATCTATAACCACTGATGTCTGAATAGTTTTAAGCAAAAAAACTGCATTAGTGGCACGCTTCCTGCAATCGCCTTCACAGACAAGACCAAATAACGGCCTGCTCGCAGGCAAAGACAATGCATACTGCAGTTCCTTCGTCAGTGACAAAATCAAATTCATTCAGTTACAGCTACTTGCCTCAAAAATATTCTTCTACATAATATTGCAGTAACAAGCAAATTGAAATTATATTCTTTTATCTCCAATAGCCTCTAACCAAAAACAACTTTCGGCATTGAGCTCCCTTCTTGGACTACAATGTATTGGACGAAGTATCATATTTCAATGAAATTCATGTGGGCATAGCAACGTGGGCTCCTAATTCGGCAGTTGTCTATCTGAACTTTGCCCGATGCGTGTGAAATACGTGATAAAATGTAGGTTTTTTTACAGGGAATTTACGTTATGGGGTGAAGTTCAAGGTAGCTAAAAGCGAATTTGATTGGTAGAAAACGTCTAAGCACGTGAAAATTTCGTGAAAAATTGACCAACAGTCGTATTATGTTCCATGTGAAATTTCTTTCAGTGAGGTAGGATTATGTCATAAAATCAGCATTGTTTACTGGAAAATGGGATTTCATCTGAGAAAGTCTAGTCCATAGTGATGAGTAAAGTAAACTTTAAACAGAATAGATCGTTTTCACTCACGGGACTAATTGCTTAGCAACGGTCGCTATGCCGCCATATTGGTGGACCAAAATTGTAAACAAATCGAGTCGCGCGTCTACAGTAAGAATGGTTTTCTGCTGGACAGTCGATTGTGGAAGCAAAAGCAGTCCGGGTATTGGTCTTACTTTTTGTCGAGTACCATCCATTGTAACAAATCAAGGAGAAGAGGCGGAGAACTTGTCTCGCGAAAGGCGTTCACGCTGGATTTCTGCCATCAGTCGAGCAGATGCAACACAAAAGATTCTTGAGAACGATCGAGTATGTGGCCGTCATTTTGTCTCAGAAAAAGCAGCGGCTAGTTGGGACAAATACAACGTAGACTGAGTTCCGATGTTAAAGCTGGGTCATAACGAGAACTTACAACAAAAAAATCTCGAGAAAGCGTCCGAAAGGGACCGGAGAGCTAACGAGAAAGAAAGGAAACGGAAGAAGCAACTCGAGAGAGAACGAGTACTGGCAGAGGAAGCCGCAGCGAAGAAACTGAAGTTGAATGAAGAGGGTCAGCAAGTTTCTGATGTCTGTTTTGTCGAAGAACCTCCGAAGTGTGTGGATTCCAGCGTTCAAACAGAAGAGTTTGACTACCTTGTTGCTTCAGACCCATCGCACACGCAGCGGACTCTTAGTGAGGATGAATTTCGAAAATATGACGACAAGGAAGTAAAATGTTACACTGGATTACCTTCGTTCGATATCCTTAACATTGTTTTTCATTGTATTCTTCCCTTTGTTACTCGTAAGTCCCGACTTTTGTCTCCTTTTCAAGAGTTTATTATATCATTGATGAAGCTCTAACTAAATATGCTGTTTGAAGATCTGGCGTACAGATTTAGCATCTCTGTGTCAACTGTGTCGAGATCTTCAGCCATCTCTGACAGGCTGTCTAAGAGTGCATCTAGATCTGCTTTCATTTTCTTCGCAGAGGTAAAGTTAATGTCACGAACACGTGCATACACGACTTATCTTACATACGAGGGAAGAATCCACAAACACTTAAGTTGTGTGCACGATAATTTTCCGTTCAGTTTTGTCCTTGCCTCAACGAAGTATAAAACACAGGCAACCTGCGAGCACGACTCTCCGAGACCGGCCTTACACCCACAGCAGTGGGCAGACAAAATCGTTTCCGACTTTTCGGTAATGATCCAGATAGAAATCAAGTCTTCTTTCATTCTTTGCAAACGCCTTACGTTCGCTAAAACGATAGATTTATTGTTGCTGTGGACCTGTACGCTTGAAATGAGCCCCGATACCATTTGATTGTATGCTTGAAGGCTTCGAAAGGCTTTAAATTGTTGTTTACTGTAAAAGCTAGTCTCCAGCACAAGGTAAAACAGCAGGTTCGTCGATTCCACCGGAGGTAGACAATCAGGCTCGAAGTTCTTGCCCTCCATCAAGACTGAGTCGATTCCAATCGCAGATATTTTCTCAAGATAACGNTTGCCGCATTAGGGTATGTATCACGCACCAATCAGATTGCCGCATTTGAGTATATACCTCGTACCAATCAGATTGCCGTATGAGGGTATGTATCTCGCACCAATCAGATCACAGTACCGGGGAATGTTTATACCAATCAGAGCGCTAGAATTTCGCCCCTCGTGCCAATCATGTCATTAAATTATCACGATATCACGACACGTTGCGGTGGAATCATCCCAATATTGACACACATCAAGAATGACATTAACAAGAATTGTGAATTCATCTACCCAGTGTAATGGTTCTTGTGTAAAGGCTGATAGTTTCGAAAGAAACTGTTTGGGGCTGCGTCGGTGGGAGTAACGAAATAATTTGGATATATCAACAAAGTTGAAGTGGTAAATTGGCCACCGTAACGATTAGAAAAGCTGACGTTTCGAGCGTGAAGGGCTAACGCTCGAAACGTCAGCTTTTGTAATCGTTACGGTGGCCAATTTACCACTTCAACTTCGTTGATATATCCAAATTATTTCGTTACTCCCACCGACGCAGCCCCAAACAGTTTCTTTCGAAACTATCAGCCTTTACACAAGAACCATTACACTGGGTAGATGAATTCACAATTCTTGTTAATGTCATTCTTGATGTGTGTCAATATTGGGATGATTCCACCGCAACGTGTCGTGATATCGTGATAATTTAATGACATGATTGGCACGAGGGGCGAAATTCTAGCGCTCTGATTGGTATAAACCTTCCCCGGTACTGTGATCTGATTGGTGCGAGATACATACCCTCATACGGCAATCTGATTGGTACGAGGTATATACTCAAATGCGGCAATCTGATTGGTGCGTGATACATACCCTAATGCGGCAATCTGACTGGTACCTGATACATACCCCTTATGCGGCAAACTGATTGGTACATACCCAAATGCGGCAATTTTATCGGCATGTAAAAAATCTCGGGGATTTTACTGAAACCTTATAAAATGCATTAGGTTGAATCCTAGAAATTGGAGTTGGAATCCTTTGGCTAACAATGCCAGCAGACCATGATCAGGCACTGACGGAATTTGAAAGCTCTGAAATATTTAGTGCGGAAGCAACAGAAGAAAAAAAATACACTTGTCATGAAAACGTTTGTCCTTACATTCTGTCGGGACAATTTTAGTTTTGTCTGCTACTGTGGAAAGGACCCTTAGACTATGAATCAGGGCAGGACACGTGTTTTTACACCCTTGAAGAGACTTTAGACGAGTCAGGGAGAGGTTTGCTGGAAGTCTCGCACTAATACTTTTAAGTGCCAGACCCCTAGAAGACCTTTGGCCGGCTCGTGTTGCTCAAAGCTTCATATTTCCCACGGATGTAGAAACCATCGTGGCTAAACACTGATAGTGAAGGTCTGCTTGCAGGTTATCCCCATATAGAAAACAGAAGGCTCTTCTCATGACCAAGCGAACTGATCCATGAGAAAACTTAATACTTAACTTGCCCTTGAGCGACCCGATTATGCAAAGCTAGAATAGAGCGTTTTCACTCACGTGACCAAATTTCTTTATCGTCATGGTAACCGACTTCATCCGCCATGTTGGTGTTCTATGATAATCAGCTGTGAGTATTGTGAAAGGAAACATTTGGAGCACATTTTACGGTTTTGAGAAGACAATAGTGTAATATTTATATTTTCGTTATCACGGTCCTTTGCCTTGTCATTAGCTGTGGGAACAAAACAGGGAAGAAGTGGTCTAACGTCGGAAAAGTAATGTTTTTTCGTGTCCCACGTGTTCAGTATAGCCAAGGAGAGTACA